CTCGGCATCCCAATGCAGAAGGAGGGAGTGAAGAGCAGGATGAAGACATTTTACCTTGAACCCTTGGAAAGAAGGAAAACAAAGAATACTTAAGATCTGTATTTGAAATTTTTATTCTTATGGGGAAACAATACATACCTCTGGATGGACGTGGAAGCCGATGAGATCCCAGAAGGTCTCTGTAGTCCTGATAACTTTGAAGCATTGCTGGAGAGCCGGGTAAATCCTGGTGAAGAGGTTCTGAGAAAACACGTTGACACAGCAGCAGTCAACACGTCACTCTGTTCAAAAGCACAGCAGAAACAGATGCTAGCGATACGGGAGCTGCATTCGGGAAGACACCCTCAGGGAAGTGAGAGCCCCTGCCCATGTTGGTGAGGTTTGTTGCCGAATCTCATAACCTAAGAGAGGCATTTGTGGGCTTTTTGCCTTTTGAAGCAGATGCTGAGATTTTGGCTATGAAATTTCACACTGTAATAACTGAGACTTGGGGATTAAACATGGAATATTGTCATGGCCAGGCTTATGTTGTGTCCAGTGGCTTTTCTTCCAAGATGAAAGTAGTTGCTTCTAGACTTTTAGAGAAATATCCCCAAGCTGTCTACACGCTCTGCTCTTCCCATGCCTTAAATAACCGGCCGGCAGAATCGGAGCTTGTTATGGGAGTGTCTGTTGCATTAGGAACAATTGAGGAAGTTTGTTCTTTTTTCCAATCGATCCCCACAACTGCTTTTACAGCTTGACAATGTCATTTCTGTCCTCTTTCAGAACAATGAAGAAAGGGGTAGAGAACTAAAGGAAATGTGCCATTCTCAGTGGACAGGCAAGCATGATGCTTTTGAAATTTTAATAGACCTACAAGCACTATGTTTTATGTTTAGATGGTATAAATAGCGACACAAATGTTAGATGGAATAACTGTATAGTGGGCAGAGCATTTGTGCTGTAGTACAATAACAGATTTTGATGTCATTATTGCCATTATCATTCTCAAAAATGTTATATCTTTTACAAGGGCCTTTGGAGGAAACCTCTAGGCACAAACCACTGAAGTCCTCTTTGCAGCCAGTAGCTTTGCAGCCACTGCAGTACTGCATTCACCAAATGGAGTAATGGGCAATATTAGGGTTTATCATGAATTTTGTTTTGAGGAAGCTACCAGTGTGGCCACTAAATGTGATATTCAGATGAAGCTTCCTGGGAAATTCCGCAGAGCTCAGAAAGGGACCCTGGAATCTCAGCTGACCTCTGAGGGTCACTATAAAGAAGTTCTAACCATGGAACACATTACTCAGGAACTGAAAGATATATTCTCAGGGCAACACCTCAAAGCTCTTAAATGCTCATCTCTGGTACCCTGTCATGAGACAGCTCAAATTCAATACATCAGAGGGGCCCCAAGCAGCATTGTGTTTGAATCAGGTGGAAACACAAGGAAATATACAGGGCTCCCAACCACCATGTTCTCCTAACATTTACGCATTACTGAAGGTACCGTGTATTCTTCCTCTGATGAAGGTTGAGAATGAACACTACAAAAATGGGCGAAAGTTTCCCAAAGCATACCCATGGAACACTTTGACAGACCAAAGGTCAAGTACCTCAACTTTGCTTAACATAAATTTAGATATAAAACATGACTTGGGTTTAATAGTGGACACATGTATCACACCCTCTACAATTAAGTCAGAGCTTCCTACAGATAATTCAGAAACCATCGAAAATACCTGAGAGACTTTTAAAACAGGTTTCCTTTTATATATGATACTGAAAAAAATCTGTAGGAAATTTGAAAACATCTTATGGAAAAGCTATAAGATGTACGTAGGCCACTTACTCACTGATTGTCTTGAGTACATGAGCCATCGATAATCTGCCTGTTTAAATGGCCCCTGTTTGAACTCTCATGCTTGGGAGAACCAACTGTTCTTCCAGAAGATAACATTGAAAGTACTATGTTACACATATGCATGATATCTGCTAATGGCACCTAGGAATTGTTTTAGTTAAATCATTTTAGACATAACATTTATTATCACTATGGGTCCAATCACCAGGTATTGAGTTATCAGTTCTTTGAAGAAATATATTTTGAGGAGGTGTACATTTTATAAAGGAATACAGTTTATAAAATCTTACCATGAAGCTCATGACTAACCTTTGAATACCAAGAGTTTTACGTATGCTATTAAAAATCTACAATGGCCCAGACCAGTGTAACTCGGTTGAGAATCGCCTGCAAACCGAAAGGTCGCTGGTTGGATTCCCAATCAGGAGGGCACACGTCTGAGTTGCAGGTTTGGTCCCCAGTCAGGGCGTGTGTGAGAGGCAGCCACCAGTGTTTTTTCTCGCACATCAAGGTTTCTCTTCTCTCTCCCTCCCTCCACCTCTCTCTAAAAATAAATAAAGAAAATATTTTTTTTAAATCTGTAATGGAGCCCTGGCCAGTGTGGCTCAATGGCTGAAGCATTATCCTGTACACCAAAAGGTAACAGGTTTGATTCCTGTTCAAGGCACATACCCAGGTTGCAGGTTCAGTCCCCAATCAGGGTGAGTACAGGAGCAACGAATCAATGTCTCTCTCTCTCTCTCTCTCTCTCTCTCTCTCTCTCTCCCCCCCTACCCACCACTGTTTGCCCCCCCCTTCTTCCCTCCCTCTCTCCGCCCCCCTCCCTCTAAAAAAATAAAGTCTGTAATGGACAGTTAAGGGAATTACCAGACAGAGAAACAAATACGTGAGCTTGCCAAACAGATTTCAGTGTAGATTTTGTCTTTATTCAGTGATCTTAAAGGAACAAGTTACAGTTACAGACTAAGTGGAAGAACCTGCCGTTGTTCCACATCTAGTTGTTGCTGTTCATATTTTTTTTAATATTTATTGATTTGAGAGAGAGAGAGAAATGATGTAAAAGAGAAACACCAATCAGTTGCCTCCCATACGCACCCTGACCGAGGATCAAACCCACAACCTTTTTGGTGTATGAGGTGATGCTCTGACCAACGGAGCCATCGGGTCAGGGTGAGCCTGTATCTTCATAAGCTTTTTAAAAGGTATATGTTGAACACTTCTGTTCCATGATCAAGACAGGATCAGAGGCCATGGAAACTGAAAACTGATTTGTTGGGTTTTTCCCGTCTTTTTTCCATGACTGTATGCCCTGCCACGTCTTGATTTATAAGCAAAACCTGGAAAACCTGCAAAACTCTGTTTTGTGGTTATCTAGGAATAATGCAGAAAACAATGCTTTTATTTTTGGTGAAGAAAGTCAGTTTTGTATAGTTTATTTCAACATAAGTAAAATGTGAATTTTCTTTTAAAAAAAACTTATTCACCTGATGTTTAGGAATACTTATTTATACAGCTTGTGTTCACCTGTACCTGATATTTGAAAAGCAGGCTGCAGTAGGGAACACAGGTCTGTTATTCTGCAGGCCTGAGGTCCCGTGCCGGGGTCTGCACATCAGCTAACCTCACGGAGCCTCGTTTTCCTTATCTGTAAGGGGTAGGCATGGAACTGAGTGGCCTTCCAAATGTGTGAGCTGTTAAAGTTGTCTGACACTCATCTCTTCCACTGGGTTATGAGCCACCCCGCTCCAGGCTGCCTGGCCCTCTGCATTGTCCCCAGTGGATACCCTGACAATGCTGATGGCCAAGCTAAACTGACAGCGCTTGTGGTGGCCAGGAGGTGGCACTTTGGTATTTTCTGCAAGAGAAGAACAAATCACAGAAGGAGAAAACACTTGTGTTTTTGCCTTACTGACCAAAATAGAATATCTAGGGATCAAAACAATCAAGGCACTATGTTTTTTATGTTTACATATAATAAATGAAATCAGGTTTTGGTGGCGGTGATAGTCCACAGGTCTGTGGGTCTTAACACACGCATAGGTTTGTGTAACCGCCACCACAATCAGGGCACAGTCATCCATCACCGCCCAAAACTCCCTTGTATCTGACTACCCTTGATCCCAGTCCTGGCAACCAGTGATCTGTTTTCCATCCTTAGAGTTCTGTCTTCTAGAGAATATCACTTAAATGGAGTCATGCAGTAGATAACCTTTCGACACTGACTGCTTCACTTAGCATAATGCCTTTGAAATTTATCTATGTTATTGATATCAGTAATTTGTATCATTAGTTCTTTCCTTTTTATTGTTGAATAGCATTCCAATATATTGATATATCAGTGAACGTTGTAAAGGTGTATCGATAAACATCAAAATGTTTACCCTTCCACCTATTGATGGGTATTGCAGTTGCTTCCAGTTTTTGGTAATTATGAGTAGAGCTGCTATTAATATACATGTATATGTTTTTGTGTGAACATAACATTTTATTTCTTTAGGATAAATGCCTAGGAGTGAGATTGCTGGGTTACATGGTAATTCTATGTTTAACTTGACTAACTGCCAGACTGTTTTCCCAGCAATTGTACCATTTTTACATTCACACCAACAATGTATGAGCCTGGAGTTTTCCTTTTCGAAAGATTTTTAACCACAAGTTTAATTTCTTTAATAGACATAGCAGTAGTCGGCTTCTCTATTACTTTTTGGGTGAGTCTTAGTAGTTTGTGGCTTTCAAGAAGTTGTCTTAAGTTATTGAATTTATGTACATAGACTTGTTGAAAATATTCCCTTATTTAATGTTTATGTGGTCTGTAATATCCCCTTTTCCATTTCTCTCTTCTCTCTCTGTAGTTAGAGCTTCTCTCTTTTATTCTCTTAGACTAGAGGTTTAGCAATTTTATTGATTTTTTGAAAGACTCAGCTCTTTGTTTCATTGATTTCTTTTTATGTTGTGTTTTCTGTTTTCAATTTTATTAACTTTCATTCTTTATTGTTTCCTTCCATCTGCTTGTTCCATGAGACTTAATAAAAAATTGAAATCATCAGGGATACTGAGGGAAAAAAATGTTTTATTAAATTACAAGATGTATTTTTAAATGTATTCCTTTGAGAACCAGGCTGATAGTTTTCCGTGCTGTGCCCCTGTGCAGTTGACTGGTTTGAGCGTCTCCAACGGGAAGGACCAACTTGTAGTGTTCCACACCAAGGACAACAAAGACCTCATTGTCTGCCTCTTCAGCAAACAGCCAACCCACGAGAATCGCATTGGAGAACTTGTTGGAGTCCTGGTGAACCATTTCAAGAGGTAAATTTTGTTGTTTTTTTTTTTAACTAAGGCAAATTTTTAAACATATGAAATCTTTAATCATAATTCTTACTGAACTTGTTTTGTGCCAATTTTAGTGTATTGAGTTATTTTCCTTCATAAGGACAACTTAAATCATCTGTTTCACAGAAGGCAAAATTAGCCTCCAGGCATAGTTTCAAGATTAGGAATGATCCCCTACTTTTCTGTCCTCTTGTTGAACCAACAGTGAGAGGTCTCCCTGCTGGCAATTTCTTCCCTGCCCATCCAAATGTAATTAAATCAAAAAGATAGAAAAATTACTTGTCACAGCTTCTCATTTACCCTGAATACAGCCAGTGAGTGTGTCTACTATGACTATGAAACAGTTAGAAAGCAGGTGTAGAAGGATGTGGGGGTCCATGACAACTAAAGGAGTTCTTGAGAGAGGCAGTAACCTCTACAAAGCTGTGGAGTTGTGCTGGAACATGGCTCATTCTGAGAACTTCATAGAAAACAGTGGTGATAACCGGGGTATTTACGTGTGGGTGGATGTGTGGTATGAACAATGGTGTGAGAAGTATAAAAAGAAAGCAGGTCCTGAGGGTGATGGGGACCAGTGAATGGATACTTTTAAGCAGGGGAATGCTGTTGTCTGGTTATTTGTTGGAGCTGTTTTAGAGATGGAGATCTGCTTCGCATAGGAGGTCATGGAGTGTTTAGGGTAGGGTGTTTCTCTGACTTCTTCCCATGGCGGCATACTGTCTCTGCCCGTCCAGTCCCCCCTCCCCACCGCCACGCTGCTGCTGGGGGACTGCTCCTCAGAACTCAGTGACTGAGAAATGAGCCCAGTGTCCAGTTCCTTTTCTTCCTCAGAGACATTCACTAAGTTGCCAGAAGGAACCAAGTATTCCTTATTAGTATTGTGTATTCTTTAGGTTTAGACATGTCTTCTTCATCTAAGCAAAAGCATATTTACAGTCAGACGTCCACGTGTCTAGTTCTACTGTGTTCTTTCTTGCCGATAAATGTATGGAGTATAATTTTAGAATTGGGCTGCACAGACCATTTATGTTATTAAACCTTGTATTCCAGATCAAAATAGATCTTTAAATATCTTATATAGCTAAATGCTTTTAAATACTATAAATAAAATAACATTTAATGATCATCTGGTGGAAAAAGTAAGAATCTAAATAAAGAATTACAAAAAAAAAATTAATAAACATATGGGCCTTTGAAAAACTCCCTTTCATCTGCCAAATAAATATAAAGCTAAGAGAAATACTGAAGAGTTAAGACTGGAGGGGAGAGACATGGCAAAGGCATTTCTACAGTTAAATTTATAACTCAAGTGAGCAGGCTTACGTTATTTTCTTTCTAATACTTAGTTATGGCAAAATATGGACAATTAAAGGGGTTTTAATTTGGATGCCTGTACTAATAAGTAGTTTTGCTTGAGAAATTGAAGTTTTTTTTTTTTCTCAATCTGGATCTTGTTTAACAAATTCTGACCCCTGTGAAATTCCTCTACAAGGGGGGTAAGTGTGGGTCTGATCCTAGGATCCACTACTGCTTTCTTTCCCCAGCTTATACATTTCCAGGCATGGTTCTAGTTGCAGTCCTTCAAACCTTTAATAGAGGATGGGGCAAAAGTAGGTTTACAGTTGTTCATATGGGAAATAATACAATAAAAAATAATACAATAGTTAATAATGCAAGAATAAACTCTGTGTTTTGCATACTAACAGCTGCAAACCTACTTTTGCCCCACCCTCTATATGGAAGATTTTGAAGTGCCTTTAAAATTTATAAATGGAAGAAAAAGAAGGCGGCTGTCAAGTTTTCAGATTTTTTAATAGTTTATTTTTTTAATTTATAAATCATGTTTATTCTATTACAGTTGTCTCAATTTTTACTCCTTCACCCTGCTCCACCCTAATAGTTTATTCTTGATGTCCTTGTCCTCTGAATTAAGAGGTCAAGTACCAATAAGAGATAAAACCCTTCCTGTCCCCAGAAAATTCAGGCTTGGGTTTTTGACTTAGAGTTATGGTCACTAGCTTGCTATTGACTTCTTGAAGAAAGGTTAATTTGATTTCTTTTCCTAGCTATTTTCCTTTATTGTCAAGTTTCATATCATTGGTGTGACTTTGAGAAACAGATTATGTTTTACAAGCATAATGAGGTTGCACATAGCCATATTTATCTGTGAATTAATTATGGAAATCCAAAGGTGAGAGGGATTTAAGTCCAGACCAATTATTTATCTTCCAAATAATTTCCTTCAAGTATACTGTGGGAAGTTCTGTAGTTAAAAGTTGAGAGGAAAGGTCTCAAAATAACAAAACTATAAAAACAGTGAGAGAACTGTGCATAGGCAAAAGAAAGTAAGGAGCAAAGAAAATACTATTGATAGACCACATGTGAACAGGAGTCATTGTCTTGAAAAAACTATAAAGAAAGAGGATTAGGACTTAAAGTATGTGAGCAAGAAAGGTCTATTAATCTCTTCATATATAATAGTTTCTTTTTCCATCACCATTTATCCCCCTTTACCCTCTTCCACCTTTACCCATCCTCTACGCCCCCACAGTCACCACATTGTTGTCCCTGTCCATGAGTTCTTTCTTGGTTTTTTCCTTTTTTGCTCAATCCCGCCAGAGCCTCCAGCCTGTTCTCTATGAGTCTGTCTCTGTTTTGCTTGTTAGTTCAATTTGTTCATTAGGTTCCACAAATGAGTGAAATCATACAGTATTTCTCTTACTCTGATGGGCTTATTTCACTTAGCATAATGTTCTCCAGGTTCATCCATGCTGTCACAAAGGGTAAACTTTTCTTTTTCACAGCCGAGCAGTATTCCATTGTGTAAATTTCCATAGCTGTTTTATCCACTCATCTAATGAGGGATACTTGGGCTGCTTCCAAATCTTGGCAACTGTAAATAACACTGCAGTGAACATAAGGGTGTATATATTCTTTTGAATTAGTGTTTTAGGGTTCTTTGGATACATTCCCAGAAGTGGAATTGCTGGGTCCTATGGCAGTTGTGTTTTTAATTTTTTGAGGTAACTCCATACTGCTTTCCACAGTGGCTGCACTATATTTTTAATATATTTATTTTTAAGTGGCTTCCTTAAAAGAAGATACAAATACTATTTGATAAAATTTAATACTTATTTCTCATTAAGTATAAGTATGGAAACAAATAAATAAGCCTTCAGTAAAATAGGAATAGGAACAAATAAGAGGCAAACCTGCAGCTGCTGCTTAAAATCAGTTGAGCAGAAATGGCTATGAGGTCACCACCACCTAGAACACCTGTGGCCTAAGCAAACTTCTTATTCTAAATCATGCTGACCTTCTTGTATGGAGGGTGAGAGAAGAAACGGCCTCAGGCAGTTTAAAGACAGGATGAGGTAAAGCGGCTACAACCTGAATTGAAACTCTAGGACAACCATAGATGATAACCTCACCTCTTCACTGGCTGAACTTCATTCAGCCAACCGCTGCCCCTACTCAAAGCAAATAATAAATCAGAAAGAAAACAGTGAGAGAACTGTGCATAGGCAAAAGAAAGTAAGGAGCAAAGAAAATATAGAAAGGCAGACGAATAAACAAGGAAAGTAGGGGAATAAAATTTGCATTTAAAAAAACAGCTCATGCACAGATCCACCTTAACAGACATCATCCATACACCCCTGATACAGCCATAGGAGTGAGTCCTGGCTGTACCCCATGGATCAGAAATCCCACCGCTGGAGGAAGGGTGGGGACCCAAAGTTAAACACATTGAGGATGTGTTAATGACATTAGAGAGGTTTCTGACTGCCCCACTTCTCGGGACCTTTAATATGCCTTTGTTCACTTTAAATATAACCACAAGGATTTATATATATTTATATATGTGTGTGTATTTACATATCCAAACATATAAAAATTTATATAAATATACACTCATATGATTGTGTAGATCACAGACTATTTCTGAAAAAATATACAGCAAATGGGTAACAGTGTCTCTGGAGAGGGAGACGGGAGATGGGATGCTGGGAAAAAGGGGTAAAAGGGAGATCTATTCATCATTCACTGTAAATGTTTTGCAATAAGTATTGTTACTTATCTAAAATTTTTTTCATTTTAATAATAAGCAAATGGCAGCTCTTTTTTAGGCATATTATAGATGACATTAAATGCATGGTTATTTTCCTTCCCCCTTTAGAAAAGTAGAAAAGAACAAAAGAGCTTTCTAAGCAAAGGATCTATCTCATGGCATTTGAATATCTTGAAATAAAGCCAGATAAAACCTCTTAGAATATCATTGTTCTGTATGGTCCCACCGTATACAGCACATGGACCTAAAGTGGGTTCCTTTCCTGGGGTGGCTGTGCCAGTGGCTCTTTTTTTTTTTTATTAAATATTTTATTTAATATTTTAGAGAGAGAGGTAAGGAGAGAGAAAGAGGAGGAGAGAGACATCAGTCGGCTGCCTCTCGCACACCCTCAACTGGGGACCTAACCCGCAACCCAGGCATGTGCCCTGACTGGGAATTGATCTTTTGGTCCACAAACCAGCACTCAGCCACACCAGCCAGGGCTGAGCCCGTGGATTGCTAGGCCAATTTGCTTTGCAGAGGTTCCGAAAATGGCTGACTTGACTTTTGTATCTCATCCTCAGCAGTGACTACCTGCTGATAGTGAGCTTTTCTACCCACTAGCAAACAGATGGTCTGACATTGGCTGCCCTAACTACGGAGTCACCAGAAACTCTGTGATAGTCAGCTGTCAAAGGACCCATCTGCCCTGAGCAGCTGTCCAGGCATTTGCCTGTCTGGATGCTGAAACCTCGGTATAACCCCAGCCCCAGGCATAGGAACTTATTTTTCCCATTCTATTTCTGTGGGGGAAAGCCAGAAGTCAGTGCCATCTGCTTCTTGTTTTTCATAAGCAGTATCCTGAATATCTGCTTTATTAAATGAGTGCCATTACTGAGTTTAACTGAACATTTGACCTGTTTCTCTG